GGTTGTGAATTTTGGGCTCGGTTCTCCAAGACAATAAGCTTCTAGGCCTTTTCTAATACTTGATAGTACTCTGTATCAAGGAAGACAATTTAAAAGCTCTAGCGTGATTATTTGAAATATTATCATGTTCAGTAGGTCTGGGTAAAACGACTATTAAGTAATCCTGGTTTTCTCTTTGTTTAATTTACAAATATATTTATCCTTTATTTTGAAACTTTTTTAATCTTTGAATATGATAAATCATGTTCACAAACTAAGGCAAATTAAGTATTTTTCTGAGGGGGAGGGGAATATTCAAAATAGCTTGTTAAATTATTAGAATCATCACGCGAACAAGCCTGTTTGTGGTTTACAACTTTTGCCTACTTTTCCTAAGTTCATTTTCAGTCACCATTAAAGCCTTGCATGAAAACAGCTAAGACATTGGCTTAATTGTAAATATATATATATGGTTTTTTGAGTAGAACCAAATCAAAGTATTCAACAAAGTCTGTATTTGGTAGTTTGGGGTGGTTTTCTCCAATATTTAATCACTTTTGTCAGGCATCCTTTATCTGTGTTAGGGCAGTGTTGAATATTCTGGAAGACCTAATTAGCTTTGGAGATGAGGGAGCGGGGGAGATGTGTTCTATTGGGCCACCTGGAAGTGGCTTGGAGGGATCAGGGCTCAACAAATGCCCAAGAGCTGATAAGACAACTACAAACAGTGGTACCCGCTCTTGGCAGTAAGAACCATCCATATCCACTGTTTGTTTTCACCTTTCCCTTATATGCCGTGTCAGTGGGGCTTTACCTGTGTTAGAAGGTATACACGCCACACGGCCTATATATATAATAATGTATGCCTGCAGTAAAAATTAGCATTGTAGAATGTGCAACATACGGTATCTTTCATGTGGAAAAAACTTCAAAGGCGGCATCAAAGAAAGGGCAAAAGGACAAGTTACGCATTCCAAATACTGAGAAATAAAATAGGGGTAATTCCATAATTTTTATTTCAATAAATAGCAGATTTATTGTCTGTCTGAGAACACCTGATGATCATCATCAGACCTCCATAACAGAACTAGCTCAAAACACAGGCTTCTTTTTAATCTGCCTGTGGAAAGGAGGTTTGATTCTTTACTCCTTTTCTAGAGCAGATGGTATGGTTTTGTTCCACAGTTCCCCTTCTCTCTAATGTTTAAGTCCATTGACTTTCTGAGCTAGGTTATAGTACTTAAAATACTTCCGTCAACAATTATCTGTTTCTGTTCTTCACATTCGAATTCACAAATCAGTTTTTATTTTAAAGTGTCATACAAAGTTTGTTTATCACCTAAGAACAATGCAATGACAGATGATTAAAAAAAACCCCAAACCTTGAAGTCTGTGTTTTGCTAGGAAGGTGAAACTTCTAACAAATAACTTCACATTTGTTTGCAGAAAAATAGGTTGGTTTTAGCAAATTAAAATCAGATGCTGTGATAAAACTTGATTGTATTTCATAGTCTTGTGTACTCTCCCATTGTGGAAAAAAGCATATGTGGAGCACCACTGCATAGAAAGCCACCTGGGAGAGGGGTACATCATCGTACGAGTGAGGCAAGCCTTCACGGATGGAAACAGCTAACAACTGGGAGAAACTGGGCATATGATCAGTAACGTTGGCAGCCTTCTTCCAGCAGGCCATTGCTACAGCAGACCTGCCCCAGCGAGCGAGCTGTCCTCCCGCCATCGCTGATGCACACTTCCCTCTTCCTTGAGAACGGGGGCTATCTCCCGCTGCCTCACCTTGCTCCTGTTGGTAACAGCTTCATTCCCAGATTGTGTGAAGATCTCTCGTACGTAGGCTGGAAATTGCAGATGAGTGTTGCTTGAGGACATACTAATTTACAAAGAATAAACACAACAGTAATTCCTAGCAGGTGGATGTATTGCCACTGATACTTTTTTAATGCCACTTTCTCCTTCCTATTGTAGCGTACATACTGTGGGTTGCATGCATGTCATTCTGTGCTGTAAATGAGATGCAGATGAGTAGAGGAGATCACATCTCTTCTAACGTGTCTGGAGGTTGTATTGGATGAGCTGAAAACCACTGCGTGACAAGTAGCTCTTTTTTTTAGCATAGCACTAAAATGATTTTTGGAGGTTTTATTTCTAGCTCCCATCTTTGGTCCATAGCATAAGTCACTGAAGAGGAGTTGTATGTTGCCAGAACCTAAGCATCAGTTTCCACAACCTGAAAATCCATGATGCAGTGCAGTAATGGAGGGATAAGGATGAGAAAACGAGCAAATTTATTCTTTTGGTTTCCCATTGTATTATAAAACAAAATATTTGTCATACAGAACAATGTAGTACGTTAAAATAGAATCACATTCGTTGTTTGGAAGCAGTTTCAGAGGTTTTGGGCTAATTGAGCTGTGACAGGAACAATTTAACAGTATCCCTCAGGTAAGAAGTGCAGCAGCAGCAGAGAAACTTCCTCAGCTTTTCCTCTAATGTGGTGACAGAATATTAAAAGAGGGACTTTAACATCTCATAAAGACGCACACTTCTAGAGCACATCATTCTTAATTAGAGGTGTTACTGGAGTCTTGCAATCCTTCCCTCTGAAGAGATGCAAAGACTAGCAAGTTTAAACACACAAGTGACTGAAACAATGAAGTGGAACAATCCGTCGTGGTTTCATGATTTGGTCCAGTAGTCTATTTTGTTTCAAAATAAATTGGAAGAAAACAGAGAAGTAGTTATAACCAAAACCTTGGGTTTCCTTTTTTCCTGGACATGTGCTTACTTTGAGATTTTCCCCAAAATGAAAAGCACGTGAGAGTTTGTAGGATGAAAACATGCCACGTTGAACTGTCCAAGATCACCAAGAAGCCTTGAAATAGGCCAGAAACTAAATTCCTTCAATTACAGGCCAGTTCCTATGCTGTCTCCTGGTGAAATATCAGAGTTGCCGTAACCCTGTTTGCCAATGTTACAAGCGAATGTTGTTTTCAAAATTTGTTGCCTTCAAAATTTCTGTTGAAATCAAGAGGAACGAGAGCTGTGCACAAACACTAATAGGATACAGCTCATAGTCATAATGTTTAATCTAATAGCAATCCGTGTTAGAGCTAGTTCTGCCACCACGTTTTCCAAATTTAAGCCAAATATGACTTGAGAGAAGTATTGGGAACCTGGATCTGGTCAGGTTTACGTTGCTGGGTTTTGCAGTGAGCATATTCTGTATAGATCACTTAGCTCAGATTTGTAATCTCACTTGAGGAGGGATTCTACCTTTGTGTTATTCTGATCCAAACTGGAGCTGATGAACATGACACTATTTAACAGTGAGAATAATAGTAGTAATAAGTAGTAACACAGAAGGAATACTTGTCTGCAAAGCAAAGAACTTTCTTTTTAGAGAAGAAAAAACATTTTGAAACCCTATGCAGAGATCACCTTAAATAAGTTATAGGGGACTTATTTTCTCTGGAAAGTAACTTTAAAGTCTTCGAATTATTAACATCTTGTGTTTGTTTACATCTCAGCTGCCATTCTTACCAAAAGCTGGAAGGTTTTTTTTACCTGATTTTTAATGTGATTTAAATTAAACTACAGTTAAAAATTTCTGAGAAACATAGATGACAATTCTTCCGTATTGTTTCATGTTTGTGTGGTTCTCCCTGCCTCACAGTATAATAAATTTCAGTATAATTCAGAAAGTAGAACTTCAGTTAGTGTCCTGATGGGATCACTTGGTATGTGATGCAGGTCTTAAATAAGGAAGCCTACTAACAAATTAACTCTAACTGAACAATCATAGTCTTTATAGTTCCCCACCTGTAAAAGTAGTTTAAACACTTAGTCCAGAATGTCTTTTAAAGTATACACTCCCATGAAATCTGTTCCCAAGTATTCTTTCACTGCAAGTGACTTCTAGAAGTACACTTAAGTGTCAATTAACAAATCTGGGTGAAATCCTATTCATGAACTTGCATTTCAAATGACTAGAAAAAAGAATGTCTAACAAAAAAAGCACTTACACAGGCCATGAGTGCTGTTACTTCTGCAGTCCGTTTGTACAAGGAAAGTCTATAAACATTTTTCCATACAGAGAAAAGGTCTAGAAGACTTCTGTAGAGAGAAGAATAATTCCTGCAGCTTACAAATCTGTATGATAATTCTATTTCCAGTCCATCGGGTTAGCTCTGAAATGACATGCCAGGAACTTGAAACAAGCTTAACTTTTGAACCACACTGCTTTGTACCCATGCAGAAATACCCCAGGGACCATGCAGTTTGTTCTAGATTCATACCTAGTTACCAGAACTGTAATGTTACTTAATTCTGACTGCAGGCTTGAAATGTGTAAAACGGTTGATTGAAAATTAGTAGTCATTTAAGGCTGACTTTGTACAAACAGTAAAATTATGGAGCAGTGCTTCATTCTGTCTTCCAGAGTTCGTGCACTGGCTACTTGCGTAGCTCCATAAGCAACGACAAATGTTCTGTGGTAAGAACTGTTCTTACCAGGAATATGAGGTGGTCGGCAACTGGCCACAATCATCATGAGATTTACAAAAGTTCCTGGCTATAATTGATTGTGGGATTTTGGTGAGCAACTGGGGGGAGGAGAAGCTCTGCAGACCTCACTTGCGTATAAAGGAATCATTTTCAGGTTTTTATGCTTTTATAGTAGCAGTTCATTTCAGCTGTTCTGTATCTATCTTTGAAAAGGGTATAGAGAAACATGACTTTGGATCATTATTTAGCAGTGCTTTAAAAGAAAAAACATTACTGAACTAGAATATGAAATGAAATCTAGTGATGCTTTTTAAAAACTGCATAACCGTTCTCATGAAATATTGCAGTATCTGCTGGAGTGCCCGGGATGTTAATCACCATAGTCTATTTTTATAGGATTTGTCACAGAGTAACAAAGCATAATCAAACATGATGAGCACAAATTGTCACCCTTTTTTCAAATACAGGTATCTAATAGATTCATATATTTGTTTTCACAGACTTCCTTATATCATCACTATTCAACAGACAAAGGCCTGGACAGGCCCTCTAGGTAAGAAATACAATATATGATTTCAGTAGACGCAGATTATACAGCCTGAGGGTTTTCTTTGTGACCTGAAACCAGCAGATGTTGCCAAGAGTCAGATCTTAACATTCACCTTGCCAGCTACTGACAAAATAGAGAGATGCATGGAGAGGGTGTTTGTATTTTGATACTGAAGTGTAAATGTTACTTTTGTTTTACAAGGACTTACTGTTTACATTCAAAATAAGCCATGCTGTATTCTGGGTCTTTCCACTAACAGCCCCCAGCTTCTGTCTGAAGTGCAGCGATCTGTCATTTAACCTTACAGCCTGCAGCACTTTCAGTGCTGTTTCCCTGTGCATGCCACCTCATCTGTTCTCGCTGTCTTTTTCCTGTCTTTGTGCTGAACTTCTAGTACCAAAAAGTAGTCTAAAAAAACTTGATGCATTTATTTTAAAGCCTTCACTGTGAAAATGACACAGCGATTTTGTATAAAACTTTAAAACAATCAGGTGAAGAAGAAATTCTCCATGAAATATGCTGCAAGATGTCAGAGACGAGTGCTTCTCCCCTTTACATGTATTTGATGTATTTGTTCTGGCATTGTTTAATCTATAAGCCAATAATATAATTATGAGCTTTCTTTTTAAATTCCTGAATTCTGCTCTCAGAATGAGCCTGCTGCTAATACTGCTTATCTCTGTAGTTCTGCAAGTACTGCGAGTGACTACAGGAAAAGAAGGAAGTCAGAACCTGCCGTAAGCCATCAGCGGGTGCACAGTGATCAGAACGCAAACAGGCCTAACCTGGGCCGTACAGATATGCAAGGCCCATATACCACCCTTAGAAAGCCTTTAACTAGCTCGTCTCCTTCTTCTCCATCGAGAGCAAAAGGTAAGAGGAGACCATATTTGTTAGCACAAAACTACTGATGGTGTGTTGTACGATAAGTTGGCTGTAAAGGCGACTCTGCACTTCACTGGGGGATTTACTATATGAAGCAAGAGCTTTGGGCCCTTCATGAAAGGCTAACTTGTTTATGCTCACGTGTGTAATTTTAAGATGAAAAGCTGGATTTGTAACAAGGATTTTCCAGTTTCAGCTGCTTATTCTAACAAAAGAAAACTGACTAAATGAAGACTATGATTTGTATCACAATATATAAACCCATAAAGTTTTATTAAGTCTACTACTCTCTTATTAGATTATTGTGGTTTTAAAACTGTTTTCAGTATATACAGAAAGTAAATCAAGACAAAGAGCATATAAGATTAAAAATGTGTTTCCAAGATAGTAGAACTTTCAAATCTATAGCTGATGTCTTAGACATTGTCAGTTATCAGGACCTAATTTAATCAAGCAAACATCCATTGTCTGATTTTTTATTTTGTAAATCCTTGAAGCATTTAGTGCAGCATATGCAATCTAATTAGCTTCTTTTTCCAAGTAACTCACCATTCTATTACTGTTCTCCATGTCTCTCCAGAAAAGAGATCATTGAATCAGTCATTGGTTTGGGTTTGGGGTTTTGGGTGGGTTTTTTTAGCAAGACAAAAGGTTTCCAGTAAAACATACAATGGAAGTAATATATAGCATAATATTGTGTACAATATGTCTCCTTCTGATTAAGTTGTTGTTATTATTCATTTAATTGCTGTATTTTGTAGCTATACTAATCAGCCTATAGCTGTATTAGGGACTGTATAAACCTTTGTAAAAGTAAATTCCCACTGAAAAGAACATAATATCCAGGCTGCAACAGAATGCATCAAACAACAAAAAGCAGTAAGGAATATTAAGAATGAAGTGATGGAAAAGCAAATGTATTTTAAATACAGTGTTATAGCAGTAATTTTAGAAGTGGGTAAACTCATCCATTTGGTGTTCTAGGCCAGAGAGTGAAAAGTTGGTAAACTCCATTTATCTGCATTTACCTTTGACTACATCACCGAAAATGATTTACATGATTTAAACACTTCCTCTGTTTGAAAATCCTTCCCTTAAGAACATCTACCACAGCTAATGAACTTTCAGAAGGTGACCTAGCTGTGTCACTCCATTCTCTCCCAGCATTATGAAACCTACTAGAATGCTTTTTTTTTTTTTTAATTAACCATTTTGTTAAAGCAGCAGCACATTACAAGCTGTTTGATCAGCATGGATTTTGAACTCAAGTGTTTCCGTTTCTGATCCAGATTCAAGTTGTTCTAGAAAGCAGATTGAGCTGGTTTTGGAGCATGTGTCCTGAACTGAATGTTGCCACTTGAGACCATTTTTGAAAGCTCAGTGCAAGTATGAGACCACAGGTTCAAATTTGTCTCATAGTGACTTCTCGATATAGCATGCACATAAACATATGTCTTAAAACTTGCTTAAAAACTCAGGTTTTTTTATGGAAGTCAATCTAAAGGTTATTGTTTCTCCTACATGCTTGTTAGGCTCAGTAAACTGATACATCTTTCTTTACACCGATATAGGAGTTCCTCAGCCACCTTGTTCTGCCCTCCATAAACTGTAGAAAACCCCTCTCCCTTCAGTGCTATCACACAGGGAAGGAGCAGGCGGGGTACCTATGCTACCTGTGAGCAACTGGGAGAAATTTCCCATTTGATCTTATATAAAGATTGATCTTGATCTTAATTATCTTAGAATATGTAGTTGCTGTGAACTCTCTGAGCATTATTCAGCTCAAAAATTCTCAACAGCTTCTTTCAGAATGCACAGGTGGAAAAGCCAATATTTGACTGAGGTCTAGATTTGTTGTTTGGCTTCATCTTTCAATCCTTTGCAGCTTTTATTGTGTGTTGACCTGCTTCAAAATCAATAGTAATGCTTGTTTCCTTATGTTGCTTTGGCAGGGGGCTTGCAGAGGGGGTAACATCTCTATAATTCATAAGGAATTCTTTTTGATATTCAAATTATCATGAGTACATTTTTACAGCCAGAAAATAACTTAATTATTAGTTCTGCTGCCCCAGGCTTTAGCAAACCTATGTACTGACCTAAGTTGATAGATGCATTAATTGCTGTCTCTTTTCTGATCTTTCTAATACTTACTGATGTTAATTCCAACTTTCTGAATCTTTTAATTTCTGGCAATGTCTCTTTTTTACCATGCTGCTCTATGGATTATGAAGGTGGGGATATTAGCAAAGTGTATCCATCCCTTTTAAGTATCTCAGTGCACAACCACAACACCTCAAATGAATTAGATTACTGTAGCACTTACAGACAACATTTAGCTGTTCCGAATGATTCAAGAAGAGCAATCAGCTACAAGAATGGCTGGCAAATGACTCGTCAGAATGCAGAAGTCTGGAGCAGCACAGAAGAAACTGCTTCTCCAAAGAGAAAATCTCGTAGCTGTGATGATCTGCTAACAGATGATCGGGACAGCTTTCCCGATGGGCAGGCCAAGTCTGAAAGCATGGGCTCTCTGTTATGTGAGGAGGACTCCAAAGAAGTTTGCTCCATGAACTGGGCCTCCCCATATGTTGAGGGCCGTGGTAGCAGTAGGTCAAGAGTTCGTCACAGATCTGCACATGATGCCCCCGGTTTCCTAAAAATGTACAAAAAGATGCACCGCATCAATCGCAAGGACTTGATGAATTCTGAGGTGATTTGTTCTGTGAAGTCCAGAATACTGCAGTATGAAAAAGAACAGCACAAAGGTATTCTTCAAGGCTGGAGAGAGTCGTCTACTGAAGAGGTGCCCAGAGACATGGTGCCAACCAGAATATCTGAATTTGAAAAATTAATTCAGAAGTCAAAATCCATGCCGAACCTAGGTGATGAAATGTTGTCAACTGTTACACTAGAGCCTCCTAAAAATGGCTTATGTCCAAAGAGGCGATTTTCTATTGAATCCTTGCTGGAAGAAGAAAATCAAGGCAGACGTCCCTCTCAGGTACAACGGAGCTACAAGTCTAAAACCCTGGTGCCAATTCATATTGAAGTGACCAGTGATGAGCCACAACGATCGCATATGGATTTTTCAGACAGTGATCAAGATGGAATGGTTTCTGACCTCAGTGACTTCATCCAGATAGAGGGTTCATCCTTTTGTAGTGAAAGTGACTTTGACCACTTTTCCTTCACTTCGTCTGAAAGCTTTTATGGATCAGGCCATCACCACCACCACCACCACCACAGGCATCTCATCAGCTCCTGCAAAGGGCGATGCCCAGCATCCTACACCCGCTTCACCACCATGCTAAAACATGAAAGGGCTAAACAAGAAACCACTGAAGATCCAAGGAGACAGGAAGCAGAATCTGGCCTCTCTAAGATAGCATTCCTAGTCAGCCCAGTGCCTTTCCGGAGGAAAAAAAGTGCAGCTCCTAAAAAACAAACTGAAAAGAAAAAATGCAAATCATCTGTGTTTGAAGCACTAGATTCCGCACTTAAAGACATCTGTGACCAAATTAAAGCTGAAAAAAGGCGGGGAAGTTTGCCGGACAACAGTATATTACACAGACTTATTACTGAGCTGCTTCCAGACATTCCAGAAAGGAATTCATCTCTTAAAGCTCTGAAAAAGAGTCCCATGCACCAGCCTTTTCATCCACTGCCTCAAGATGGTGCTAGCCATTGCCCACTGTACCAGAATGATTGTGGAAGATTACCTCTTAGTGCCTCTTTTCCAGACTTGGACGCAACTAACAACAATGATAGTGCACTGTGTTTCCAAGGTGGATTAACTTTCTTCCTCTATCCTTGTGATTTCTTACCCATCCTTACTCCCTGTATTTCCCACCCTTCCTCATTCCATTTTTCTTTGTGTCTGTAAGATGCTTTCATCCCACGAAATTCTTTATGAAGGATGTCATTTTTACATAGGTGATGAGGATACATAAATTTGCTGTCTATTCACAAAAATACAGTAATCTGGACAACCGGAGTAATGGTGTATTTCAACTAATAGATTATTATTAGTGCTATAAATTACAGTGATGTTATTTAACTAAGCAACGTGTTTTTTCCCCCTCAGAAAAAGACCTTACAGAAAGTGAACGCATGCATCATAAGATGCTGGTCAAACAGAAAACAATATGCAGATAGCCTTTCCTTTATTATTTAAAAAAAAAAAATCTGCATCTAAAACATGTTGTACTGTATAGTTTTGTAGCATGTAAGTGATAAAAATGCTGTTAATTCTGCCACTATCATAGAAAGTTGATTCTATTTTCTTATGAAAATCCGCTAATCCCGCTGCTTTCTATTACTTTTTGTGAATAGACCTTAAGGTCATTTTAGGAAGTTTCCATTTCCACTGTTCAAACAATACAATTTCCAATTTCTGTGGCAGCAAAACTAGTTCTTCTCATAGACTTTTAATATATCTATGAAGTTTTGAGAAATTTCCTATCCTCTTAGAAGGGAAATTCTCAATAACCAAAACTTGAATGAAATTGTCAGGGTGCGGATAACTTTTTTAAAAGTCTGTCTTGACAGTGATCAGGTTTTAAAGTTACTACTCTGAGTTGTTTGTTGCTCTGCTTCTCTTTTTCTCAAGAAAATTGCTTGAGCTTAAAATGTTTTTAAAGTTTAACCTTGCAACATTAAAAGAAGCAAACTAGATTTATAACAGGAGTGCAAAAAGGTGTATCCCAGATTATTTAGATTAATGTCTTTGGCAAGTCTGTAATTTATTTCTCTTTTTAAATGGTAATATTTCTGTGTTAAAGAATTCTGATCCTAGACATACAGTCTCCTTTGTGACAGAGCGTCTTTGAGAATTTAATGACATTACAAAGCTATCCTTGAAATCACAAATGGATGTAAGAGAGTCTTTAATATATCAATTATGCAATATTTGATCAGACCCATCTTACTTATCTTTAGTCTCACATCTTTTTCTGTAACTTTTGCAAGTACCACACTAGTATATAAGTATTTCAAGATAAATCAGAATTGAAGCTGTTACCATCTCTTCTTAACTGGTTAAAATAGACATATTGACAACAGAGCATTTGGTAAAAACCAGCTATAAAACACAGTTCCGAATTGAATTAGTCATACCTGAGGCCTGATCATGATTAAGCCTGGCAGGCAGTACTACACGGTGAGACTGAAGTTGTTGGAAATTGCGCTAGTCACATGATCACTGTTGCTAAATGAGAATTTTCCAGTCCTTGAAAATAAGGAACTCCACAGTGCAGAGTAAACATGGATTCCTAATAGCTTCTGCAGCTGTGAAGGAGCCTGGCCTGAGGAAAGCAGGACATTCTGTCAACATTAATATCCCTGAAGTAGCGTGGAGAATGAGTACAGCAGAATATTCCATTGACTTCCATCAGCACTAGTCACGGCTGAGCTCTACTTCTAATGAAGTTCCATGTTTTGTTGGATCTGTGTCTGTCTCTTACAGCCACCATCCACATGGAGACCCCAAGGTCAGAGCAAAAAACACTGAAAATTACCAATATTGACTGCGTGAGGAGCTGTATAGAAATAAAGGAAATTGTTCTTCCTAAAGCTTCTATGTTTTCACTCCTTCCATCCCATGTCCTTCTCTTTCTGCTAGAATTTAAAAAAGAAAATAACAGATGTATGGGGAGGCATTATATCTTTAGGTTTACGGGGAGTGAGCATAGACCCTCATTCACAGTCACAGGCCATATCAAGAAAGCTGTCCAGAACCAGGACTGTGATATACTTGTTGGTGACAACATGCTTGGAACCAATTACATAAATAATGCAATTATCTCATTTTTTTGCCTCCACTGTATTTATCAATAGCTTCAAGTTTTTGTGACTTAGCCAACAGCCCATTGGAGATCAATGACATCTTTCCTCTGTAAGACCCCAACATAATGAATGAGATGCTTTAAATTCTTTTGTTTCTACTTGTACTTCTTTAGAAATGTATGGGCTTGGTAAGAACAGATTCTGTGAATGAAGTCAAAGGAAGACAAACATCAGTCATATCTCCACTAGCAGGTATCAGTAGGCAGTAGAATTACTAAAACAGTAAACCTCAGAAGTCATGAGGCAGTTCATTTCATCCTCTGGTCTGAAATAATCCTGTTATATTTTCGTTTCACATTGGCACCTTGCAGAGCTATAAAGAGTGTAAGATTTTATTTTTATTAAAACATGAAAAGACGTATTCGCCATCCTGTAATATACCATCCTATAATAAACATTGGTAAACTGTCTTTAGAGAAAATCTGCCACATAGATTGGTGAGTAATGATTTGTACTCCATCTCTTAAAACAGAGTTGTTTTTATGAAATAACATCCTTTTAAATTCCCTTTGTGCTGCCCAACATGTGTCCCTGGTAAAGTAGATACGCATCTTACATCACTTAGGAGGAAACAATTTTTCTTCACTATTTTCTCATTGAAGCATGCTTTAATCATGTTTTGTGCATGTAATTATGTGTTTATATTGTTGGCATTCCGAAACAGTTTCATGCAACCTGATGAAGTCCCGGTACTGCCGTCATGTCTTCCATTTGGTCCAGAAGGGGTGCATCCCTTTGTATAGTGAGGCATAATTTTACCCTCTCGATCCTCTATCATATATTCTTCTGCTGTGGATCAGAGGACAGCCTTTGCCTTTGCTTGAGAGTTAGTATCTTTTTTTTCTCTAAAGGTGCACTTTAGTCATCATATCATATGCCTTTCTTCCTATTAAAGGTAAAATAATAGATTTCAATATCTCTTCACCCCCCTAAATGAAACCAAGCAGCATCACAGATTTGAATGGTTTTGTTGAATTTACCATCATTTCACACAATTTCTGTTTTCAGCAGACCAGGAGTCTCCTGGAAGCTATTCTGCTTTCACAGATGTGGGACGATGTACTCCAAGGGAGAGGAGAGGAACTACAGACAAAGAGGTAGTGAAGCAACAATAAATAATGCAGCAATATCCATATGGAAAATTGGTAACATACTCAAGACAATATTTGTTGGTTTTAAGACGCTGTAATGATACAGACCAAAGGAACAGTTACTTATGATATCATCAGATGGGACAGCATCCTTCTTTTTCATTAAGGAGATTGGTACTTCATGAAATTAAAAGAATATCAAGCTTTGTAAGATAAGCTCTATCTTTTATTTATGTTTAAATAGATATGGGCATAACTTTACTAGTCATTGATAGACTCTGTCAAAGTTGACCAGAGTGGGATTTGGGAGAGAGAAGAATGGCAGATGTGAGTGGGGAAAGACCCTTCTGAGAACCAGAGCATTACACAAAGAAACTGCCTCAGTAGTTTCAAAAATGATACAAAGAACCTCTGTATTTCACCATTATTTTTGTTTAGAAAAATCAAAACCACTGCTGTTAGTGTGTTAGACAAAACCACTTATCCTAAGAGCGATCTCTAATTTCTGTAACAGTTGATGATTGTAATTATATAGTGATTGCTTATATTGGGTGTACAGTTGGACTTGATGATCTTTGAGGTCTCTTCCAACCACAATGATTCTATGATTAATGTTTTGGAAAAGGAAATGGAAGCAGGCATACAACCTTTCAAGTAACACAAAGTATCACTGAAAAGTATGCACAAAAATAATGGAGTATATCATTCAGTACCTTAAGAATATTTCTAGATCTAGAACTCTCCAAACAGGCTTCAGGGATTTTATTCAATCATAAAGTAAGTACATATATATTAACCAACATCTACAGACCATAGATTGTTAACATTTTCCATTGACTTTTATTAAAATATTGCTTGCACAAAATAACGGCAGCATAAGAATACTATATTTTAATTGCTAACATTTAAGTTTTTGCTCTGGGCCATCTACCTTGTTAAATGGTGGTACAGGTTAGAACTGGTTAGAGGATCTGAATTCAGATCCACTTACCCCCTGCTGACATGGTTATATCGCTGCAATTTGATTAAGAGTTTGATTTCACAAAAAGACTGCTGATTACAAAATAAAGGTTAAAAAAGTTCCAGAAGCCATACTGTGTGTTCCTCTTAAAGAATTTTGTGGCATTGAAAGTCTTCTTTCAATTTGAAAATACATAAAATACTTACACTACAAGCCATTCTGAAGATTGCTGTAATTTAAGAAGATGAAAGAAGCAAGGCTTCTCTATTTCCAGTATGTTTTCCACATTTCAAAGTATTTTGTATGTAATGAGCTCCACTGTTCTTTTAATATTATCCCCCTTCTTCCATTATTTGCTTTAGTATTTATAGCACTAGCCGTACCAAAATCAGGAAAGGGTGAAAAGGATGTAGCTACAGCTGACGATATGAATATCCCCTCATGTCTAAAACGCTGTTTTTAACAACAGCAGGGATCAGAAAAATGCTTTTAAATTTAGGCTGTCTTATTTGAAGGAGACCTATAATGGAAAATTGTATTAGTACTACAAAATGCAAGTTGACAGGTTCCCTGTAATGACTTTGGGGACTTTTTCATTATAGCAAAGACAATGCTCTAGGTATGCTAAATTTGCCAGCCTTTAGATGACCACAAGGGAAAGAACCCAGTCGAAAACATCTGGCCTGGAAGAAAGGTAAAATGCAAAACTTACAAGTGTCCCTTTTTATTCCTCTGATAAGAAGATGTGCATCTTACCCTTACAAACAGTATCTCTCAGAAAGAGCACAATCAGCTCACTAGTATATCCTAGAGTGAGATTTTTAAAAGGCAAGCAATCTCATCTGTGCAAGTACTTGCAGAGAAAGACTAAATCACTTTACCAAATATCCTTGTGTAATACTGCTCATCGCTTCTTGCACCCTCCTCTGAAGTACCTAGCGGTGGTAACCCATCAGAGGCAGAGATGAGGTGAGTGAGGCTCTTGGGTCAGATCCCAGTTCATGTTTTCAGCACAGCTTTGAAAGCAGTGAAAGTGCAAGTGTCACCCACACAGGTGAGGGGAGGTAGGGTTGTTTTACACTTCCATTTTTGAAACAATATTGAGCTTACAGGTACTTGGTGATAGAATTTGGTAAATATCTGAAAGGAATGGTATGATGTGATTGCCTGTGATAGCAAGAGATGCACAGATGACTCAGATCGCTTCCACTGCAGTGTTCCGCAGACTTTCTTAGAGCTATGAGTGTGATTATAGAAATTTAAAATATTCCCAACTTTTTCCAGCTGTCAGAGTAATTTTTCCTTTATATGTACACATATATAAAATGTGATGCAGTATTGGCAGTTGAAATTAGCCTAAAGATAACAAGTTTAACCGAAGAGGCATCTAAAGTATTAAAGAATATAAAGCATACGAATTTTCATTGTACCTAGAGATCTAGTTGCCTACAAGTCACACTGGCATTTAGTTAACTTTATTTTTACTTTTGTAGTTCTCATTAAATTGCAAAGCAGTCTGTATTAAAATTTAGCTGCTATTTCTATTTTTAAAATACTAAGTCCCAAACACTTAACTACCTTAAAAAAGGAAACTGTGTATTTAATTGCCTGTTACTGGAAGAACCACTGTAAGGCACTCGTCCTTTTCTTTTTGGATCTGTCACCTTTTTAAAAGTTGAAATATGTTTACCATATAGTGATACTACCTGAATATATTAATCACTTTGCCTACTTTTCAGAAACTGCCAGCTAGAGCTGTGTATGACTTTAAAGCTCAGACTTCTAAGTAAGTACTAGACTTTTGTTCATTTAAGAATTCATAATTCAAGAAAACTCTAGCACTTGTGGCAGCTAACTGCTGTACTAGCCATTTTCAACAGCAAATGCCATGGAAGCAGAGGACCTTGCTTGCTGTCACAGTAGTCTCTGCATTAGCAAACTGTGTGAGAAGTTATTTTGTAATAAAAATTATTATATTCTCCATTGTATTTGTTTGAACACACGAATGGCTGTGCATCTTCAGCCTTCTAGAGCGTGAATCCTCAGCATCACCCACTGAATGCTCTTTGTTGTGAATTGTGTTTAGGTTTCACAAGGTACAGAGCTTAAAATACTATCATAGATAGTGCGCTTATCAAAATTCTATTAAAAAAAAAAAAAACAACCAAAATCAGGAAACACTGTTTTAGGATATGGGAGAGTCAAAGCAGAGTGGCTGTATTTCACTCCCGCTGTTGTTCTGATGATCCAGGGCATTAAACAATCTTTAGATATGGCCAAACATGAATGCTAGAGTTACATTAGCTGTGTCTGGTAGAAAACTCGCAAGTTGAATTTTCAGAATAGCAGATTAGCTCCTGAAAAACTAAATGGATGATACAGCAAAGAACTCCCAGGCCAGGATCTGAAAATATTCTTAATGATTTAGATAATTCCCTTTTTTTGGTATCCAACATTCAGAATATCACAGGCCCTGAGTATTAGAAATGGTGAGAACATAATCCTGTGTTCTTCATGCACCTGGAACAACTGTCTTGAAAGAAAAATGCATAGAGCAGAACCACGCCAAGCTGTGCTGCTGCAAAAAGGTAGTAGCAGGCCATAGAGGCATGGGATATATGCTAAACGTTTCCCTCCTGATTTCATAACACCAAATACCCCTCGGATGCCTGTCATAAAAGCAGCATCTAAACAGGCAATCCAAAAGACGTCATACTTGCATGCAGACCCTATGCTAAGTGCTCTGGTAATAACTAGCAATACTTCCTCGGAATCACAGTGTAAAATAGGCCTATATAACTTACAAGTAGTACCTGGGATTCATAAATGTGAATCATTTCATTTTATATGGCATAATCAACTGGGAAATGTTGTACCACAGCTGTGACAGTTTTTCTTCAAATGTTTAATTGCTACATTCTGTTTCAATTCTGAACTGTAAAGATCTAGGAAACTAAGCAGGAGAAGAGTTAAATGTAAAGCTGTAAACATCTGATCTAAATAAATTTGTTACAGAGAGCTGTCCTTTAAGAAAGGAGATACTGTCTATATCCTCAGGAAAATTGATCAAAACTGGTATGAGGGTGAGCACCATGGAAGAGTTGGAATATTCCCGATTTCTTATGTCGAGGTTTGTTCTCTGTTTTAAGTCCTTGAATTAGTTTGAGTAATAGGTCCACAAACTGCATGAAAATGATGAAAATCTGTGGTTTTTCTTTTTCCTTAGAAACTTTCTCCCCCAGAAAAAGCACAGCCTGCCAGGCCACCTCCCCCTGCACAGATTGGAGAGATTGGAGAAGCTATTGCCAAATATAATTTCAGTGCAGACACAAATGTGGAGTTATCGCTTAGAAAGGTACAGTTTAGAACTGCCTTTATCAAAATGCCATTACAGCGTCTACTGCTACACAGAATTAGTATATAGGTAAATACTGTGCTTTGGTGCACTCTGCATTCAGTATTTGCTATGCACAAAGCAATCTAATGGTACGAATCTACTAAAATAATACCTTGTTGGCTTGCAGTCTTTCACAGCTATCTGCAAATAGTTTAAATATGTTGTACATATAACCTGGATTGTGGTAGATCAGCTTATGCAAACATCTGCTAACTGCCCACCTAAATTTCTAGTTTTCACTTCAATTATCCATTCCTTTCTTTAATAATTATTTCTTGCTGTAACAATTACCATGGTAAGGTTTTTAATAGAGAAGAAATAGAAAAATACAGAAAATCGAAGATACAGAAAAAAAGGCTCAGAGTTATTTTTGTGAATGTACTAGTTCTTGCAAATATTTCCTTGAATAACAGCCCACTTTTTATAACATTCTCTTATCTTTTCTGTGCACATCCTGATAGTTATACTTTATTGCACATAAGCAAAATAAATGTTTAATTTCTGAGGTTTGTGAGACACTAGAATTATTACCGCTGTAGAGAAACTTTATTGTTGCAGATGTTATATAAGTTGTAAGTAGTATATACTTTTTATCCACTGGAAAGTTCTGCCTCTTACTTTTTCTTTTAAGAACTAGAGTTCATAGAAGTTATTCAGTGGTTTGTTTTTCTTTTGAAATAAGAGTAAGGATACAGTTTTTTGATGCTGATGTGGAGCCTAATCCAGCATCACTGAAGATAATGGGTGTTTTTCTACTCATTTGAGATTGGTAAATGTCAAAAAGGTCTAAAAAAAAAAATCAGGAATAGGAACTTAGAGAATTAGGGATTGGAGGTAGTTTGGTGATTTATTTCTTTTTAAAACAGAATTTTAAATTTAGAAATTTAAAATAAAATCTTTTGTGCTTATTGTGGTGGTCATAATCTTGACAGGCCAGTTTTGGTTAGTTTTTAAAAGTTAACTTGCACTGGCTTTCTTTTGTTCCATCCCACTAAAGATTGATATTAGAGTACTCCACAAATCAACTACAGAAACCCAAGAGAACGTAAAACTACTAGGGAAGGATTTGTTACAAAAAGGCACATGGAAAAAAACACATCATGTAAAACAAAGAAGTGAGTAGCTCCTCTCAGAGGTTTCACTACAGAGAAAAGTTTGAATAGAAAGTTGGCATCTTCCATTTCAGTTGCTAAGTTCTCTAAAAACAGTAAGCGAGCCACTGCCCATCTTTTTTTTGACAGGAAAAGCACTTCTTTCTCTCATCTTTCCCATGAACTCATTTTTTAACTTTCTACCTCCACTTATTCCAGTTTTACTGATAACAAAGCGCTTGCATGGATTTCATTGTTTAACTTTTATCACTTTTAAGGAAAAATGGGCATAGCATTCACTATTGCATATTACAGTTAGGGTGTTGGCTAGTAGTTTGGCCAACAATTGAAACGGGTTATGTTCCAAAGAAAAGTTCAAATGTTAATTACCCAACAGAGAGCAGAAGACTACGTGAGATGCCCCTCTGATAAAAGAATAGCATTTGCAGTCCGTGACTAGCCCCTGATTTTGCTGGAGTAGTTGTATACATGGTTATTATTTAATGAGAGGAGAAATGTGAAAATGGAGATGATTCTCAACACTGACGGGAAACAGCACTGCAGGAAAATAATATTATGTGCTAAAATAAAATCTGCTATTCAAAAAATTCACTTGCAATATATCTGCTGATTACTCATTTTCATAATGCATTTCAGGGAGACAAAGTAATTCTTCTTAAGCGAGTTGATCAAAACTGGTATGAAGGTAAAATACCAGGAACCAACAGACAAGGCATCTTCCCTGTTTCCTATGTAGAAGTCATCAAAAAGAATGCATCAAAAAGTGTTGATGACTACCCTGATCCTCCGATACCCCAAAGCTATTCTAGTGACAGAATACACCATTTAAGTTCAACTAAGGTAAGGATTTTTTTTTCTTTGGTATCACCCCTAGAGTGGGTTTAGAAAGACTTGTAATTTTTTTGTTAACATAATACATAATTTATGCATTAAGTACACTACATTTTCTTTCCTACATAGGTTAAATTGCATTACAAACTTGTTATTAAAGCATTTTAATAGCCAAATGTGTGTCTTACATTCTGCCAGGATTTTTGCTCTTTTCTTCATTAGCTATTACATTATTGAGAGTGGGGGCAGACAAAATTCGGGCAGAAAAATCAAGCCAACAGAACAAAATTTATTCGGGAATCTTAGGCAGAATTTGAGGATTAAGGATATGTCTAGCAGACTTTTCATAGTGCAATGTGAAGACATTCCCATAACACAGCATTCCTAAAGGCGTGCAGTCCCATAAGCAGGCAGAGGGCAAGAGAGGACAGTTTGCGTGGGGACACAGCTTGCCAAGACCAGTTCTGTGCCTTTCAAAATAAAGGAGAACAGCTAATGATTCCCTGCTCCGACCTTCCTCCTTTTGCCAGTCACACTCTAGAAGGAGGCTGTGGTACAACAGAGGTTCTTTGGAGTGGTACGACAACAGTCACAGTATTGTTTCATGTAGTAGCGAGGCAGATGTCATCATGTTGTCAATGAACTTGGATTCAGACCTTTATACTTGTAATTTTTCACACCAAATGTCTGTCGTAGGTTCTGAATTCTTTTCATTCCCGGTCTATGTAACCACCACATATCATACTACAGGATGTTGCAAAAGGATTCCTATATTCCGATTTATCATTCACTCGTGAGATTTCAGAGTCACCTGTGCGGAGAGAATAACCTCTTTGGCAGTGATAGAAAGTTTCTGCATACAAACTGTGATTAGCATTAACATATTATTGATGATTTTGAATGCTCAAGATGGAAACTTTTCTAAATCTTCCTTTTTACCTTTGTTGTTTATCTCTGCAGCATGAGTGGTGGGTTTTGTGCTTCTTCAGTGTTAGAGTTGTTAGGCATTGGAACAGGCTCCCCAGGGAGGTGGTGGAGTCATCGTCCCTGGAGGTGTTCAAAAAACGTTTAGATGTGGTACTTCAAGACATGGTTTAGTAGACATGGTGGCATCAGGTATACGGTTGGACTTCATGATCTTTGAGGTCTCTTCCAACCATAATGATTCTATGATTCTATTCTATGATTCTGTGATTATAGACTTACTATCCTGCTATTAATCTTTATTTGTTTCAGTTGGTTTTGTCCCCTTTTCTACTTTTGTATACTCGCATACTGATGCTCTCATTTACATGCTTCAACTTTGAGATGAGTTCCACATTTATTTGCAGCTTTGGGGACAGCTACCAAAAGATTTTAGTTGTAAGCAGTATTTTCAGAGGCCATGTTGTCTATAAATGACATCTTTTGGATAGTTGCCAGAACAGGTCTTGTCTGGTTTTCCAGAACGTGTCACAACAGAGATTAGCTCCTCTCTCTTCCATTCTGACAAACTTGTTGAATTGAAGTAGCATCAAATTCTGCAGCTGCAGACAGAGGTATTCATAAATAATAATAAATATTATTACAGGAATCCAGAGGTTCCGGAACGCAAGTCAAGAGTATGAAGCAGCTTAGGTGCTCCATATTACGGAGCTGTCTCTGAATTTGGAGATGTGCCTCTCCACATTTTCTGTGGAGCAGCCTTGTCTCTAAGGCATCCTGCAGCTAAAGCTGGTGCTTGTGTAACCCCTGTTGAGCATCGGTGATGCTTCAGAGCATTTACATTCAGATTACAAAACTATCCTGCCACTATTATTAAGTTATAACTTAATTATCTAGATTATAACTCAATTAGTTCTGTAGGGCAGGAAAGTGGAAGAAGCCTTCTTGGTAACTTAGGAAACTTTTGCAATCATCTGGTTCTAGCAGAAGTCAAAAAAAAGAAAAAACACGCCTCTACTGACAGTCTTAAACAGACATCTTCTTTCTGAATTCAACTCTATTCACAAATGGTAACACTATGTAAGCAGACATCTTGTTCCTGACTACCTAGAAGGACTTCAGCAGTCCTGAAGGTGTTCTGGAGTTTACTACAATTACTGATACCACTTTTTCTATTCCTTTGGAGTTTTTTAGTACTTATCACTCCCTGTTGCTAGAGCAATTGCGCTAAATTTCTCTGGCCTAATGGCAATAAAAATAAATAAACAATACAAGTCAGGAGCAAGTTTTGCTCTCCTTAACCTGGCTTAAACTATCTGTATCTTTAGCTCTAGTGCAGCCTGTAGCCACAGGAAGCTAAAAATGGCAATGTCTCCTCAGCAGTATTATTGACCTTAAACCCACAGGTTAGAGGCCCTTGTTCAAGGTAAAGAGATTGAGTATTTCTTGTAACAGCCTAGCTCTGTTTTAGCAGAACAAAGGCTGTTGTATCAGTCTATACTGTTTACTTTGGTACAGAAGACTCTGTAGCAAAGGTTTGTCTAACTACAAAATAAAGCTATTTGCCTCAAGAAAACTCAAGCAGAAGGTAAGTAAAATAACCTTCCTATTCAGCGACATTAATTTAGCCTTTTGAAATTATTTTCTTATTCTAGAGTAATACTTAAAGTCTAAAGTAGTCCAGGTAATTTAAAGGGACATACATGTAATTGTTCTGGATAATTCTAACAATGAGATCAAAATATTTTTCACTCCATTTTAGTTTTGAGGATTAATAGTAATAAAAATGCATTTTCAGTATTTACTGAAGCAATGGATATCTACTGATGCTGTGTACGTATGACTCACCAGTCTCATTCTTACAAAAGGACGTTTCTTTTACCAGAAGGATACTTCAATCAATATTATGTAATGGTACTCAAAATATACTGCTGTGTACTGTGCTGTCACTATTTCAAAAGCATTGTTGACTGCCTACATTCAATTCTACCTTTCACAAATGTTGATGTCATTTTGAACTAACAGGGTTACATTTGGGGGGAAAAAAATGCATTCTGTAGCTGCTCATGCCTTAATAAAGGTATGCAATGTCTTAAAGATGTTTCTTACACATTCACTCAGAAGTACTAAGAAAAAGTAGAAGTATTAACATTAGGATGATTAGAAACCACCTCAGTTGTTACAGTTTAAAAGAAATACTTAATGACAGCTGAAGTGTACTTCTGAAAATGCTGTTCTCAAAATAACAGTAATATTTTGGGGAAAATTACATTAATAATAATTGTATGATTTAATAACTTGTGACAGGCTCACTAACAGAGCACCATAAGTAACATAACTTTAGCAGATCAACTGCAGGTCGCCTTCATGAAGGTAATGATTCAGATCTGTCTTGATGTTTGACATTTAAGCCCCGAGCCAGAACCTGATACAGTTTCATTTTTCAAATGTCTTTCCTGCTGTTCTGATTCATGTAGTAATGATTTCAGACACCCGTGCTCACTGAAATGATACCCTATAATCCAGCTGATGGCACAAATATTTTTCTTATCTAGTCTACTCATATCCTAGTTCTTTGTCATGCTCACTTATTCATTTAAATTTCCATGGTTTTTCTTATTTTTGAAGTTGCCTTCTCAAGCACTGTCCCCACTTTCCAGACACCTTTCCTCCTCTTGGTCATGTGTTGATCAAAAGATTCTCCAGGCTGCCACTAGTGACTGGTTTTCAAGGACTGCTGGTTTTTCACCTTCAAGCATGTGTGTCTTACCTCCTCCACCATTTCCAGACAGTTTTCTTTGTGACTTAGAAGAACTCAATTCTTTGGCATTAACAGCATCCCAATCTGTAGCAATCTGCCCAGGTAACAGCATTCTCCAAGCTAAGGATGATCACTTTATTCCAAATACAGAGGTGTCTCTCAGCTCTCCTACAGCTCTTCCTCTGTCCTTTCTTGCATCTACCTCTGTCTCATCTTCAGCCAGCGTTTCTCATGACGTAGCACATAAGCATACCAGCAACAATACCAAACCAGGAAAAGAGAAAGACTTGAGAGGTATACTTGACTCTTCAGTTATCGAAGTACCTAGAGACTTGTCAGATACTGCAGGAGAAGGTGAATACGTTGACGCTGTCTGTAACGTCCCTTCACCACGTGAAGGTGGCTCCGACTCCAGAGTGCTAGCTGCAAGTGCTGAGAACGAAGGGGAAATCTGTACTGCAGATCTGTCAGTTAATATAGGGGATCAATCAAAGCCTCAAGAATCAGATTTCTACAGAGGAGCACAAGACACAACAGAAGAACTGACAAGACTCTATATAGAGGAGGATCTGGGACATGACAATTTAGAATTCCCAATAGCAAGTGGAGGAGACTCCATGGTATGTTATGAAGGATACACTTCACCAAATATTGATAAGGTATTTTAATTTCTGAAAAACCTGGTTTCTGTGTTCAGATAGCTTACTCAGTATAATTATTCTCTGCCTTCTCTTGTATTTACATGTTTGTGTTATGCACAGGCACAGTTTTATACTATTGCACTTGATAAAAATTGTCAGTGTTAGGGGTAGTCCCTTCTCAGAAGCAGGCATATACACCATTGTAAGTTCTGTGGTGTATCAGTTCTGCTGGTCCTTTCCCTTCTGTCCTTGTTAGCTGCCAGCGAGCTTCGGATGCAAAAAAACAGTGAACCATTTTCCCCACTGGCCCATTACATGCCAACCCTTTTGAGCGAGAGGCCCCAGCAAACAAATGCTATCAACAGCCTTCGGAGGGAGGGACATGCCTCCTGCAGAGACTCAGCGGTTTGTACTTCACGTGTGTCACCTCGCCAGCTGATAGATTTATAGTAGATGCTGTTATAAGAATGTGACTAATAATAACAGACCAGATTTTGTCTGGCAGTTAAATAAATGCTTCCCCCTAAAGCCCTCCCCAGTTCCTCTTTGGGACGGTACAACACTGAACTATCCAAAATGCGCGCTAGCCATTAAATGCCACAATGTCGCTACACAGTTTGCATGGTTTCTAGGCAAAGGTTTAGAACAATTTTTTTCTGTCCAGCAGTTATTTCAACAGACTG